CTACAGAGAAGTTGAATCACTATGTTGTACACCTGAAACTACTGTAACACTGTGCATCAATTCGAATTAAAAAAAAAAAGAAAAATCTCCAGTATATGTTAAGGGGGAAAAAGCAATGCAAAGAAAAATGAATATAGTACTACAATGTTTTGTGTAAATAAAGAAGAAGTGAAGATATATTTGCTTGCATTTACTTAAAGAAAACCTGGAAGGATAAGAATGCATGATAAACCAGTAAAAGTAATTGCCTATGGGTGGCAAGGTGAGGGCAAGGATTTGTAAGGTAAAGCTCCATATCATCTTAGTTTTAAACCACATGCAAAGAAAAATTTTAATCAAAATTTCAAATATTTGAATACTATTTTATAAGAAAAAGAAAAAGGATAAATAAGAGAATGTATGCATGAGATCCTTGCATAAACCAATATCAAAATGAACCAAGGATCAATTTTCACCTGAGGTCAGAGAAAAAAGAATCAGGAAGGACCAGGGGAAAGGGAATGATAGAGACTCCAGGAAACAACAAATCTGTACAAGACAGGAACTGTGCTTGTCCTACACTATTTGACATGGCAGTGGACAATATTTTCATAATTATAATACTATATACCTTATTAATTTAGCAAAAAACAGTGATATAACCATAAAAGGAATGGTGTAAGAATGAAATCCTTATCTGCCATAATAAGTAGTTTAAAGCTGATATATTAAGAGGTAAGAAAGCTTTTTAACATTTTTAAAAAGAATTTTTGAGATAGTTACCATAAGAAATTATTAAAATTAGTTAAAAGTACTTTGTCTCTTAGAGGAAGGACAGGGAAATGTTGCTTTTCATGATAAGCCCTTTTGGAGTATACAATTTTGTTACTATATATATTTTAAAGATTTATTTACTTATTTTAGAGAGAGAAAGAGCACGCGCACATGAGGTGGGGGAAGGGCAGAGGGGGAGAGAATCTCAAGCAGACTTCCCGCTGAACACAGAGCCCCACACAGGGCTCGATCCCACGACCCTGAGATCATGACCTGAGCCGAAATCAAGAGTTGGACACTTAACTGACTGAGCCACCCAGGGGCCCCTATTACATATACATATCAATAAATGTGTATTTCTTAGATAAAAAAGAACATTGACAAATTAAGAAGTTAATTTGATTAAAACGATTTGAAAAAAATCCAAAAATATTAAAACAAAATGTAAAACACATACCCTAAAGTAATTCCACCAGGAACTTACACTAACGATGTGTTCATGTAATTACACAAAGAAATGTTACAATAATCTCATTTTATGAGAACAAAGTGGACAACCTTGATATCCATCCGGAATTTTAAATGGCATATCCATACAATAGAATATAAAGTAGACACTTCAAAGAATGTGGTAGATCTCAGTGTGCTGACAGAGAGGTTCGCTAAGATCTGCAGAGGGTTGCGTGAACCCAAACAAAGGTTCATGTGTGCCTGAAGGGAAAAGAGGCAAGGTGCTGGGGAAGGGGTGGGGTGGGCATAGAGAGCAACTTTTACTCTCCATATAGTTTTATACTATTTAATGTCACGTTGCTTACATGTTTTTAAAATGTAGAAAAGTACACAAAGAAAATAATTATTTAATCACCGCAGTCCTTCCACTTGAATGAATCACCGCAAACCTTGAAGGCATTTGCTTCCTCTGTACATATGCGTGCTCATGTGTATGCTTAAAGAAACATTATTCTATTTTTTTTAAATGGTATTTTCTCGTTATAGATAATTACGATGATTTACAAAAGCTCACAAAAAAGTAAAAACTGTAGGAGAGGAAGAAATTTCTTCTTTCCTCCAAGATTCTTCCAACTGGTTTAAGAATTACTGATTAGTAGGAGAAAAAAACCTAAGTTTTATTATGTGTGCACAAAGGGCCAATGATGAAATTGACACCCAAAGAAATGACCAAGGCAGGCAGTTTTGATACATTTTAGACAAAAGAGAACATATTTGCGAGGAACTGACAGGATAAAGAAAACAGATGTTGGGAGTTTCAATTAACAAAAATTCTTAAGTGGAATTTAGGTTGAGATGGCAGATCAGTAAAAAGTAACAGGGTTTGTTTCTATAGCTTTCTTGGCTTTAAAGATCCTTTCTCGGGTGATAAGGATGTCTTTTTACTTCTTAGTACAGGGAGGGTAGCTTTCATATGGGAGATTTATTTCCTGCTTTCAGGGTGACAGAGGAGGATCTAAGAATGTCCTTGTTTCCCAAGAAGCTTCAATTCAAAATAATCAATATGCCGTTGTGGTACATTTTGGGCCACCCTCCCTTGGGCCCCTTACAAAACCAATCACCTGAAAACCACCCACCCAGAAATTATCCTTGCTAAAACATGAACCAATATAACTTCAGGCATCTTTCTTTACAACTACAAGGACAGATGGGTAGAAAAATAAACACAAGTACTTGTATTAATATAGGATCATGCAAGTGCTATTTTACCAAAATTGCTGATTTTCGTTTAACTTGATTTCATAGAAGAAAAAAAGCTAAAACAAAACTGGGACAGCTACCAAACTTCAAATAAATGTATCTTTGTCACAGAAGTATTGTTTCATAAAAGATCCCTTTAAGGTTCAAAAAAGAGATTATAAATACACACTAAAGGATTATGAAATGCATTAAGAGGGTTATGAAGTAAATGACAGACATTCTGTGTTTTCTAAACTCTGTTTCCAATTTAGACATTATCTATTGATACTGTTTTGAAAGATGAGCACGAGCAGTTTCCCTTCTATCTCTCTTCTTCCCAACTCAAATTTTGAATATATATGTTATTTTTTTAATCATTGTTTGGGTTTACATTATTTCAATTCTATTTGATAACTGTCATTCCTATGGTTAAAAAAATTTGTTTCAAATATATAACACATTCACAATTCAAAGTCAAAATACTACAAAATGCTGTACATTGGGAAGTTCCACTTTCACCCTTGTCCCATCTCAGTGCCCCCTGTCATAACCATTTGGCTTTTTATATATATTTCCAATGTTTCAGATATAAGCAAAATGAAAATATATTTTTCCCTCCTTCTCTCACTATTATTGTACATTATGCTTTTTTCATTTAACAATACATTTTGAAGATTTTATTTATTTTAGAGAGAGTGCAAGTGGAGGGAGGGGCAGAGGGGGAGGAAGAGGGAGAGGGAGAGAGAATCTTGAACAGACTCTGTGCTGAGGGTGGAGTCAGGCGGGGCTCAATCACCACCCTTAGATCATGACCAGGGCTGAAACCAAGAGTCTGATGCTTAACCAACTGAGCCACCCAGGCGCCCCAACAATGTATTTTGGGTAACTTTCCTATACATACATAAATAGGTATGTTCTCAATCTTACTTATAACTGTATTCTGTTGTGGGATGTATCTGTCCCAGACTGATGGACACTTCGTTTTCAGTCTTTTGCTATTACAAATGATGCTGTCATGAATAACCATGTACATATATCATTTCATATACAAGAAGGTGTAACTGTATGATAGATTTACAGACCCATAGTTGTTTAATGCTTTTTATATTTAACTATTTAAATAGATAAAATGCCTTTTTTAAATGTGGCTTCTCTATTTCTGAGAAAGATTTGTTTATATCCTTGTTTATAATGTGGCTTCTCTCTGATCTTACCCAATTTCATGGTCAAGGACTATCTTGAAGAAGAGCTCATTGGGGTGTTGTATCCTTTGAATTATTTCATGTTTGAGGTTATCTGCCTATTACCTTAATAAATAATATTTTGGGGTCACACTTTCTATCCCTTAGGATTTTGTAGACATCGGTCTATTATTTGCTGGCTTTAAATGTTATTGTAGAAATCTGAGGCCAACTTTAACTTTCCCCTTTATAGGTGATTTGCTCTTTTGAGAGGGGAGGGAGAATTCATATGTCTAAAGAGTTCTTTATCTTTAAAGTTCTATAGCTTAGTTTGGATGTGTCTTAATGCTAAGCTTTCTGTGTCGGTTTTTTTTCCTGGTACACACTATGCTCTTTCAATGTGCAACTTCAATTATTTGTCTTAAGGAAAATCTCTGAAACCATCACATTTATCTTCCTTCTGTTTTTGAACTCTCTACGTCAGAGGCACCAATTATCCTTACGTTAGCTGATCTGAATATCTTCCATACCTAACAGCTGCCCTATAATGTCATAATCTTAATTTTTATCTGCATCAACTGCTTATTTCTCTATGAAGATAATTCACCTTTCAGCTCTATCAATTCTTCCTCTTACTATTTCTATATATTATTGGGTGTTGCTTTGATACTCAATTTGTTCACTTGCAGGAGTGAAATCTCCCATTCACCTCACTCTTTCATTATAACATTTCATCCATGAGCTCTGGTTATCTGGAATTCACACTTTTATTTTATTTTTAAGTAATCTCTACACCCAATGTGGGGCTCGAACTTACAAACCCAAGATCAAGAGTTGCATGCTCCACTGAATGAACCAGCAAGGCGCAACCCTCATCTTGCTCGTTCTTGAGCATCTCATCCATGACATTCTGTTTCCTTTAATATCATTTGGGTAAATTAGGGCCTTTCTTCCCACCATGTCTGAGATCAGTTAAAAATTAAGAATCACTACTGCAGAATAAATTATAACCATTTTAACAGTTTACTCTATTAGGCAAAACCAAAATTCAGGCACACATTTATACACATTTGTTAATCAATGTCTTGTCTGTTTCGTAATTCATATGTAATTCTTTAATCACAACATATTTGTGAAAACCTAAAAACAATAAAAACTCTCAACAACACAATAATTAAGTAAATTATTATATAATGTTGATAGCGTATTCATAGCAGCCGTAATAATGACACTTTGCACCTTTAATAGCATGGAGAAATGCTTATGATGCACAGGTAACAAAGGATTCCAAATTGTGTACTCTGTATGCTCCAGTTTTGTAAAACAATATTCATGCCAGGGAAATACATCAGAATTAACAATGGATAGGTTATCTCCAAGTGGGCGTTCGTGAAGGTTTCTATTATCTCTGGGTGGGTTGCAGAGGGAGGGGTGAATTCAGGATGCTCTACCCTCGGCAGAAGAGAAAAATGGAGTTGAAACCCGCTGGACGGGCAAGCAGCAGGTGCACTAAAGGCAAGGGGCAAGCGCAGCCCGCCTCAGAGGCCCTCCGAAGGGCTGCCCGGGGGTGGGGGTGGCCCCAGAAAGTGACCTGCAGCACTCTGCAGTAAGCCTGGGACCCCTGAAACTGCAGCCGTGAGACTAGGACTCGGAGGCAGCACCAGAGGAACCCAGGGCCGGAGGAGGCTACTTCCCGACCAGCAGCTCGTGACAGTCGCAATCCGGGACCCTCCCCGGAAGTCACTGCAGAAAGTGGGCAGAACTGCGGGGCAGGAACGCATCCGGGCTTTAGGTACTAGCCTTCCAAATGAAACCTTTTCTCTTTTTGCTTACTAGAATGTTAATTCACGGTAATTTAAAAGATAATTGGCGGCGGGGACGGGTGAGGGGTGGGGGTAGATAACAGGACTCTAAGCAGCAGCTGTCACTCCAAAGAACTCACTGAGGATGGTAGAAAGGAAAATTGAACTTATGTGAACTGCCTTATCCCCCTCTTCTTGATTTTAACTCCGCGTCTTTTCCCATGGAAATTCCCCCACACTAGAAGAGTAATCTTCCTTTAGTCATTCTACAGGCTGGTCAGTGGCACTGTGAATAAACAACTCATGCTCTGCGGTATAGAAGCTCTTGAGTACACTTCAGGCGGAGCTGGAAACGGGAGGGGGAGCGGGGTATTTGTGAATGCCTACTGGAGGGCCTGCTGGAGATGGAGAGAGATGGCATCTCTCCAAAAGCCAACCCTCGCTGGCAAACCTGAGTCCCTCTGGGGAACATCGGGTCCTCACAGCCTAGATTATCATCAAAATCTCCTGTTGTAAGGGGGAAACAGGAATGTCCTGACACTCCAAACGTCTTAGGGGCTCTTGAAGCTCTCTTGAAGCTGCTGTGTGCCCTCCCCACCCCCTCACTTCTGAGAAAGTGGAGAGAGCTAAAATCCTTCCAGGGAAAGCCAGAACATGCCCTAGGTAAGCAGTGGTTATAGAGCTGTTGCCAAGTTTCATAAACTTCCTGTTAAAAACAAAACAAAACAAAACACCAAAAAACCAAAAGACAATGAATGGCACCTCTGGCAAATACAGAAAAACAAGAACACTTCTGTTAGTAAAAGCAATTAAAAACATCCAGAAGCCCTTTACCCTCCCTTTTCTCCGAAATAAAAACCTCAATTCTCCTATTTACTTTTTTTTTTTAATGTAGGCTCCGCACCCACTGAGGAGTCCAAGGCGGGGCTTGAACTCAGGACTCTGAGGTCAAGATCTGAGGTGAGATCCAGAGTCACGGGCTCAACAGACTGAGCCATCCAGGTGTCTCAATTCTCCTCTTTAAACAATGTAATAGAAAAGCATGAATAACATTCCAAGCCATATTTGATAGAATTTTTCCTCTACGTACCACTCTTTCCCAATCAAGAATCTCCTGGTTTATGATTTTTTTGTAATGTTTGCTTAAGAGGAAAGTGGTAATAATCTGGGGTAGATCTACATGTTCTGTTTGCGATTCCTGATTGTTCTGATGCTTTGCCTTCATCCCTTCCCCACAATGGCCCAAATTAACGAATTTATAAGGATAGACTAAGGATCAAAGAAAAACAGAGACAAAGCAGAAAAAAAATGTTAAGGAGACAGAGAACAAATGAAGGTGAAGAAATTGGAGAACTAACATTTATGGAGCCTCTTTTGTTTGCCAAGATCTTTGGTGTGTGCTTTACATTTTAAAAAATGAAATGTTGGGAAGTTATCTAGTTTTTTTTTTTTTTTTACTGGTAATACATTATAATAGCATATAATGTCTTTTTAAAAATATTAGTCTATTAACACCATTCTGTAATTCAAGTAAATCAGGAATTGGGCAAAATCCGAGAGTTTAAAATCACTTTAGAATCTATTTCGAAATGGATTGTTTTTTTAAAACTAAAATTTTTTTAAAAACTAGATATTGAGACTCTTAAAAGTGTGTAAGAAAAATCAGTGCAGTTTGAAAATGTCTTTCTTACAATTCTCCCTTTAGGTATTTGCTTTCTCCTTCTCCCAAGCACCTTCCTCATGTCCCCGCCTCTTGTCCCTAATTCTCGAAGCCAGCCCTGTATTATCAGGTGTGGAAAGTGGAATTCAAGCCCATACGTCACAGTCTCCCTGTACCAACAGGAGAAAGTGCAGTGGGGGCTACCTTTTCGGTAGCCTTCCGTTGGCCCCTCGGTAGAAAGCCAGGTTTCCTAATCGGATTGGAAGGGTGGGATAGGCAACTAGAAAAACTGATCCCTTCACTTCAGGCTGAATATGAAGCCAGAATTCCCAAGGCCTTAACCTGGCACATTTTGAAGAAGGTGGGGCTTTACATGCGTTCATATCCTGTACTGGGCCTCTTGTTGGCCACCAGACATGCTGTTAGCAAAACGACAAGCAGTACTGCAATACTCAGGCCCACGGCCACAGGGGTTTCTCTCCTGTTTCTGTCAGCGAAGCATTCATCCGCTGCAATTGAAGTCAGAGTAACAGGTGTTAACAAGCTGGCCGCAATGCTGGGAAGTGATTCTGCCTGCCTGCCTCAGCCGCGCAGGGAGGGAAACCCAGCGAGAGGTGGAGTGGAGCTGCTGGGCTTCCCACCGGCTGCCTCAGACACACGGATGGGTGAAAACGAGGGAAGGTCAGTGCGATGATCTGAAGTGTGCAGTGCTTGTGATCACTTAAGGGACTATCTTAAATTGCAGATACCCTGTCCCCGCACCCAGGAAATTACGATTCAGTGCATTGGAGGTGGGGCCCAGATGATTCTGTTGTAGCTGGGCGGCAGATCCAACTTTGGAAAACATCAGTTTGGTCTAGAGAGTCAGGATCAGAACTGTAAGCCCGTGGAAGTTCTGGGGCCATGTTTTCCCAACTCTGGCAACAGAGACTTGCGCCAAATTGCATGGCCAAAGTTTTCTAGCCAGACTCTGCTTCTTAAAGGTTGCTGCTGGTACTGGAGAAACATTTTACAGGCTCTGGGATTTTAGCTCCCTGAAATGGGTTGAGAGTGTGGAAGTTTGATAATTATATGAAAAGGGGAGGAAGGGCAGGGAAAAAATGAAAAGATAAATTTTCTACATCTCCCTATGGGCACTGCTAAGAGAGGCCAGGTGTATGTTGCTGAAAGGTTTTATTTCTCACCTCTGCCACTACAAGGTTTCCCACCTGCTCACTTCCTGTTTCACAGAGGTTCAGAGGGGGAGGAAGAGCAAGTGTGTACCTTATTTTTTTAGATCACATGATGAATTACAGATGCTTTTCAAACCTTCATCATGAATTTTTAAGTTTCCCCAAATTGGAAGTTTTGAGACCAGATGACAAAGTGGGGGCCATACCTACTAAGAAATTTTAGTATTTTTGTCTTAGCACTGTGGTAAAGCTCCAAAACGGAGGCAGAGATTTGAAGACTCAGACAAAACCTACAGAAATCAGGGGATCCGAGGCCCGCAACACTTTAATCCTTCCTCTGCTCAATGCTTCCCAGCAAGTATATCAGGTTTTTGTAGGCACATCTTCGACTTTATAATGGAACTCAAAGAAAAGTTGGGTTCACATTACAGAAATTTAATTTACAGCTAAACTTCTAGCTAAATCTATTTATAAAAATTGAGAGGTATACATAATGTTCTTAGTTATTATGAGAGGAATGTTTTAGAAACTGAAATTCAATTCCTGGACATATGTAGGAATCTTTATAACCCGTTTTCCCAGAAGGGAAAAAAGGGCTTTTTCAGAAAGTCACCCTGGTCTATCCCTGGCCTTCTGCCTAGGACCTGCTTCCCTCTGCGGTGGTTAGAACTCAAAGCAGAAGTTGCATAGAAACTAACACCAACTACAAGGAAGCTCTAGCCAGGGGAATTGAGCTCATAATCGAGAACAGGGGGCCCAACAGAGTATATTTCTGTCTTGAATTATTGCAACTTTCTTTTTTCCCTCTGCAAGTGGGAAAAAGTCTATTCTGAAATCTTGAATTTTAGATATTACTACTATTCAGGATCTTTAAAGTCTCCAAATATACCTGAGGAGTCAGAATATTACATACAAGGAGAATGTATCCTGCTGTGGGAGAGTAGTGGACATGAACGGGTTAGTGTCCGATAATGAGGTTGGTATTGACTCAAAGGAATGGCAGGAGGGAAAGTTGGCCAGAGAAACTTGGCCCTAAAAACTTTGTGGAACCATACTGTTGTAGGAAGCTCATGTGATTCTTGTCCCTTTTGACAGCTGCACATATACAAAACAACTTGAAACTACCCTTGGGTCTCTGAAGTTTTTGTTTGCAACATGATGAAGACTTGACTTACCATTTCCAAAGTGGTCATCTTCGAAATCAAAGACTTGATATTGGACATTCATTGTTTTCAGTTGAAGGTTGGTTGACAGCTGGATGCTCTGTTCACTCACACATTTGAAGGAATGCCCAACCACAGTCTCAAACATCACCACAGAACTTTTCATTCCTTGGTAAATTTTCTCTGAAAATACAAGGATGTAATATAGACACTTGTTGGCATATAGCCATTGAGTATCAACTGTTACCGGGTGGCCCATGTGCAGTTAAATGGCCTTCGTTGAGATATGGCTTTCAGGGGTTCTGCCTTCTCTTCATGAAGACCCACTCTGGTGCTCTTTAGGGACTTCTTTATGGTATTATGTAGTATATGGGGGCAAACTCACATAAATTAGAATGTGATAACATTGAAATGAGAACTTTTAGGAACTTTTTCTTCAGTTGTCTTGAGTCATTGGGGGCAGAGTTGGTGGGTACAATTGTCAGGGCTTGTGGACTACAGAGACGTGCCCACAAAAACCTCAGAAATAAGAGAAGTAAGATTGCTCTCTGTGACAGTCACATGAACTCTTATTGAATCAGAATAGACATACGCAGCCACCAAGTGGAACATCTGCATGTTACCAGACTGTATTGATATAGCAAAAGGACAGGCTGATCCCATCATTAGGAAGGGTTGTTACATCCATCCGTAGGGACACAGAGAAGGGAAGGCCATCTCTGTCCACCTGAGTGCTGTTGGGGAGAGAAAGACCTGCTCAAGGACTGGCGCTATTTTATGACAGGTTCACTCTTTTCAAGGAAGCATATGCTTCAAGGCAGATGGGGTTAAACATTTTAATCATATAATTAACTCCATTTGCTCTAATTCTACATTCACCCCACACCCTTCTGATTATACTTTGGCTTCTTGGATGGGAGAAAGTTCACTGGCCAGACGACCCAACTGTCTAGTCCCCTTGGCAGTTACCATAAAAAATAGTTGCATGATAAATGCACACATTTACATTTTGATTTTATACATCAGTTTCATGACCTTGGTTTAAATGTCTCCTTGAAGAGACAGACAATATGTAAGGGAGTGCTGACAGCTCCCGAGATTGAGGACCAGACTATGGACCTTCATGAATTCACCAAAGTTGTGCCTGAAAGGAATACCCAGGGGCTATTAATGAGGGAGCTTGAAAGTCTCCCTCCTTTCCTGTCTCTGTGGGTGTGTTTGCTTGTATCTAAGGTAGCCTCCCTCCCACGTTAAGTGTCTGCTTGCTATGTGCCAGGAACCACGCAAGTACTCTGTAAGCACTGTCCTGTTTAATTCTTTTTTTTTTTTTTTTTTTATTGGAGAGAGAGAGAGCACAAGAAGGTGGAAGGTCAGAGGGAGAAGCAGACTCC